ACAGATGCGACTGCAGCTACTGTTGGTCAACTTTCTCAAGTTTGGTATCCTGATTCAGGAGCAACTCACCATGTTACCAACAATGTTGCCTATATGTCTGAAAGCATGACACTCCCTGGTACTGATCAGGTCTTTGCTTGGAAATGGGCAAGGACTCCCTATAACTTCTATTGGCTCAACTACCTTTGTCTCACCTCTGCACACACACACCACCCTTACACTCAATCACCTATTACTTGTGCCAGCTATCACTAAGAATCTCATGTCTTTCAGCAAGTTTACCAAGGATAAATGTTTTTATTTTAAGTTCCATGCTGACAGGTGTTTTGTCAAAACACAGGCCAATGAAGTGCTGCTGCAGGGTGTGGTGAATAAAGATGGTCTTTACTCCTTTGATCCTTTCCAACCCTTGCCTTCAATAAATCATATCACAAGTGGTTCAATTTCTACTTCAGCAACTACTTACAACTTATGGCACAATAGGCTGGGGCATCCTCACCATGAAGTGCTCAAGTCAACTCTGCAATCTCTCAATGTTCCAGTGCCACACAAGTCTCCCTTGGATTTCGGTGTTCCCTGCTGCCTAGGAAAAGTGCATAGGCTGCCTAGTACACTTTCACACACAACTTATAATCAATCTTTTGATTTACTCTTTTTGGGTGTATGGGGTCCAACTCTTATGACTTCAATATGTGGATATAAATACTTGCTGACTTGTGTAAATTCTTTTTCTAAATATACATGGGTGTTCTCTCTCAAGTTAAAGTATGATGTATTTCACACCATCACACACTTCATCACTGCTGTAGAGGTACAATTCAGAACTGCTGTAAAATCAGTTCAGATTGATGGTGGAGGAGAGTTTCAGTCTCTCACCAAGGGTATTGCACACAGACTTGCTTTCCCCCACACCCATCATCAAAATGGCACTGTGGAAAGGAAGCACATGCATGTTGTTGAAACATGGATGACTTTGTTGTCTCAAGCAAGTTTTCCCTTGCAATTTTGGGATCATGCCTGCCTCACTGCCACTTATCTAATCAACAAAATGCTCACCCCTCTTCTAGCCATGAAATCTCCTTATTTCATGTTGTATGGATGTGCCCCTGATTACAGGTTTCTCAAGGTTTTTGGGTGTGCCTGCTACCCTTAACTCAGACCTTATTCTCCCAATAAGTTCAATTTTCACTCACAAGAATGCACTTTCCTGGGATATTCTTCCAATCAAAAAGGGTACAAGGGCCTAGCTTCCAATGGTAGAATATACATTTCTAAAGATGTAGTGTTTAATGAAGCTAGGTTTCCCTATGCCAAGAGTGTGACTACTGAAGCTCCTTTTGTTTCTTCTACCCCTCTATCCCCACCATTTCCCATCAGTCTCTCTCAAATTCCATAACCTCCTCACTTCCATCAGGGTCCCAGCAGTCTTCATCCCTTAGTTTCTATCAGCTCTGAGCCAGCTTCTCTTTCTAGTTCCATATCACCTGCTCAAACCAACAACAACACTTCAGTCAGCTCCAGTTCTAACTCTCTAGCACCTATATCTGAGCCCTCTGTCTCTGGCTCTACATCTGATTTGTCTTCTTCTGATGTCCCTGCAGATAATTCTTCTTTGCCACCTTTACATCCTAACAATGTGCATCCTATGACCACTAGGAGGAAGAATGGCATAGTATAACCCAAACAACATCCCACCCTTCTTCTCATTGAACTGGAGCCCACATCTTATAAAGCTGCCCTAAAAGATCCCCATTGGAAAGTTTCTATGACTGATGAATATCAAGCTCTCTTGAAAAACAACACCTGGACTTTAACCAGTTTGCCTCCTCATAGGAAGGCCATAGGGAACAAATGGGTGTTCAAGGTAAAACAAAACCCTGATGGAACCCTTAACAAGTACAAAGCAAGACTAGTTTCCAAGGGTTTCCACCAGCAACAGGGCTTTGATTTTACTGAGACATTCTCACTTGTGGTTAAGCCTGTAACTGTTAGAATTATGCTCACTATAGCTATCTTCAAGAGGTGGCATATCACACAATTGGATGTGAATAATGCCTTCCTTAATGGAACACTTGAGGAGGAAGTGTATATGTTGCAGTCTCCTGGATTTGAAGTTTCCAGTGATGCCTCTCTTGTTTGCAAACTGAACAAAGCCATCTATGGGCTTAAACAGGCGCTTAGAGCCTGGTTTGAGAAACTAACTTCATCCCTAAAGGGGTTTGGTTTTTCCTCTAGCAGATGTGATCCATCTCTTTTTACCCTTGTCACGCCTTCATATACTATCATTATGTTAGTATATGTGGATGATATAATTGTAACTGGAAATTCTGCACAGCATATTCAGGAACTGGTCAATAAACTGCATGCTCGGTTTGCACTTAAACAACTAGGAGAATTGGAGTACTTTCTGGGTATTGAGGTATCTCACTTAAAGGATGGATCCCTGTTTTTGTCTCAAACAAAATATCTAAAAGATCTCCTGGTCAAGTCTAATCTTAGGAAGGCTAATGGTGTGCCTACCCCCATGATATCAAGTCTTAAGCTTACCAAACATGGCACAGATGTGGTGCAGGATCATACTTTCTATAGGTCAGTTGTTGGGGCACTGCAGTATGCCACGATTACTAGGCCTGAGATCAATTATGCAGTCAACAAAGCTTGCTAGTTTCTGTCTAATCCTCTTGAAAGCCATTGGGCTGTTGTTAAAAGGATTCTCAGGTACCTTAAAGGGACTCTCTGTCATGGGCTGCATCTGCAGGCTGCTAACACTCAAGTTCCCCTTTCCATTACAGCTTTTTCTGATGCTGACTGGGGAGCAGATCCTGATGATAGGAAATCCACCTTAGGTTCCTGCATTTTTCTTGGACCTAATCTTGTTTCTTGGTGGTCCAAGAAACAAACCTTAGTTGCAAGGTCTAGTACAGAGGTAGAGTACATGAGCCTTGCTAATTCTGCTGCAGAAGTGTTATGGATACAGTAACTGCTTACTGAGCTCAAGATGCCATTTACTACACCTGTCCTGCTATGTGACAATCTCAGCACTGTGTCATTGTCACACAATCCTATTCTACATGCTAGGACCAAGCATATGGAACTAAACATCTTTTTCTTACGGGAAAAAGTGTTGAACAAGAGCTTGATAGTCAAGCACATTCCTGATTTTGATCAATATGCAGATTTACTCACCAAGCCCCTCTCGTCTCTCAAGTTCCTGCAACTAAGAAGCAAGCTGCAGGTCCGTGACAGAATAACTCTGGATAAGGGGTGACCTAGGGTTTCTAGGGAAGCTATTAGAATATATACATCAATAGTAGAAAGGGTAAATTTGTAATATCACTGTGCTGAGTATATAACTCAGTCTTGTCCTCTATTGTAATATAATATACGATTCTGTTAGAGTTCAGATCTACTTTCTCTCTCTTCCTTTCTTTCTCTTTCTTCTTCCTTTCAACTGTTTCTACATTTCTAACAATCACTACATAATGACAATGAAAAAAAAAGAAAAATGAGGAAGAAAGAAAATTAAGGTTTACGAAAATAAAGGGAAGAAGAAGATTATTTTCTGCAGAGCAACTTTCTGTCCACAAACTGTGAAAAATCTTATTCACTTTATAACTAGAAAATTATATGAATACAAGTTGTGTTGTGATTACAAAAATAGGAGTTACTCCTTCTATTTATAGTTTTAGGTTACCTTGCTCCCTAAGGCAAAGCCCAAAACACAAAAGCTCAAAATACTTATTTTAGATCTAAATCGAAATTCTATGTCAAACAATCTGCTTTGACACTTCGACACTATACAACTCGATAAACAATTCGAAACACACTAGACTATTTTCAACACACCATATATCGAGCAACATGCTACTTTCGACACAAGGAATTACATTCTCATGTTTGAGAGTTTGAAAGGAAGAGAAAATAAAGACTTCTAAAAACATTTTTTTTTTAAATTCTTTAATTTTTTTTTGTATAAACTGATACAACAGTGTTTATTATTAAACATATTTTTTAATTTTTAGAAGACGTTATATTGTATTTAAATAATTTATCTAAACCTTCTAAAATTCCCCAAAAACCTTCATACAATATAATTATTTGGTTTCTCCAAATTAAGGAGATTTTAGTTTTTGAATAAAAATAAATCGCCTCAAATCCTCCCCGCTTAAATCATTCTATCATTTCACTCATTCTTTTCTTTTTTACAAAACCCTCCTCTCTCATCCTCTCCAAACTCCCAAACAACACCTTGGCATCATAATTTTCATGAGTTTATTCATAAAAAGGGAGACATAAATTAATATGCAGATGCAGATATGCTTGTATATCAAAGGCTTCATTAACCACTAGACATCTTCTGAATATATATGTTATAGAATAATTCAAAATTGTTTCTTTTGCTTTCCACTCATGAATCAAGAAAGAAAAGTTTTACCCTGTTTCTTTTCCTGTCAACTTTATTTAGAGCAACATCAAAACAAGGGTGAGAACCTTGACCTTTGTCCAGAACTTGCTGGTGCACTGTTTGATTTCATTCATAATATACCACATTCTTCATATAACAATGTATTACATTATTAAATTACATTTAAAAAAAAAATTCAGCATATGAAGTAACTGAAAAACTACATATTTATATTGAATTTAAGTTTACACAGTAGCTATTGGAATTCAAAATTTTAAGTTGGAAGATAATAAACCAAAAGAAAAACAAAAGCAGATACAGGAAAAAAATGATAACAAAAACAAATTATTCCATACCAGTACAATGATCAAGCTTATAAAAAGCGTGTTTAGTTGAAATCGCAACTGCGTGAAAGCAATCGATATTTGAACAGTTGCTCGAATGCTTGAGTATGATGTTACTCAATGTAATGCAAAAGATTCTGGAGTTAAACCAGCAACCTTTGCAGACGTGCAGTTTCGAACAAATATTGTCTTCATATTCGCGAGAATTCTCAAAAAGTCAAGCCATTTTTTCTTCCCAGATTCGGATTCATTTACAGTTGCGCATTTTCCAAACATGGACCCCCATTACTCCTCTTCCCCATTCCAGAAGCTTCTACAACAACCTCCTCTTCACCAACATCATCGATTGACATTGATTTGTTCCCTTCAAATTCAATCAAGGATTTTCCCAGAAGATGAGCTACTGTACTTACATTGCAATTAGCTACAAAGAAGGCACAAATAAGGCTCAATTGAGTATGTAAACTCAGAATTTTCAAATCCTTATTGCATAAAAATCGGAAATCTCTAAGCAAAAGTTTCTTAAATATAAATTGATATAAATACATCATCAAGATTCCCCAGAAAGGCATAAAATTTATCTTACACTATTTTCACCCTCCATCAATTGAGAGATAGTACATTAAAAAAGAGTGCAGGTTAAATAAATATGAAAAAAAAATAAGAAAAAGATAAGTACCACGAGAACGGTACGCGTAATCAGTGCCTATGCGTAGCCAATATGGGTACTTCACCATTTTAGAAGTACCTATGCTTCAGAGGTAAAGTAAATACCATTTGGAAGTCCACGCTTGTTATGAGAAGCCCGCTTCAGCAGATTAGAGTGCATGAAATAAGCTCTATTCCTGTTGTTGTGTATGTTGAATCTCCGCCCACTAATTAGTGTTATCAATGGCAGATGGCAGATTATCACAGTCAGGCAAAAATCCGCTTTAAACGTATGGGATTGCCGCCTTTGTGGCCTATGGTGGAAGGCTCAGAATCCTCCATATCATGGAGCCACGCTGCAATTTGACAACATTGTCACTCACTGCTACTTAAGCGGAACGACAAAATGGTAAATCAAATAAACCTTAAAATTTTGAGATAATCATAATTTCAAATTTTCTAAAGTTTCAATAGGGAGAGGCAAATGTAAGATTACCTCAGAAGTTACAAAAAACTCCTTCACGACACGACCCCAAAATGTTGATCTCTAAACTCAAGATGAAGATCCCACAAATACTTCTTTAAACACAAGATTCAGACACGGCCAGCATTAGAAGGCACATTGTAAATTGCGATTTATTGACTTTTTTTCGGGTCTGAACTCCTCCTTCACAAAATCCACCTTGGTCTCTGAGTAATCTGGAGTTAAGCTAGGTAGGACCTAAAAGGGTTCCAAAGCTCTCTTAGCACTTTTTTTGTTTATGTTATTTTGTAGCTTTGATTTCCAGACGATTTTCCTTGTGTATCCTTGCAGACAAATCCGAAACAAGAGCATAATTATTGCTTTCATAGCACGCAGTCATAAATGCGGCTAACGATACGCGATTAACATGAACATCCATGTCTAGTAACTTATTAAAGAACAGTGCAGCCATGCCTACTTTTTTCTCACAACATAGTTTTCTGACCAAGGTATTAGCTGTCCGAATCCAGTGTTTCTTTTCCAGCCTTTCTAGAATAACCATTGCAGATAAACAATCATCTTCCTTACAATATTCATAAGCCAAAGTTACCCTAGTAACTTCACATGGGGTAAGTCCCTTTTCTATCATAGAGTCATACAATCCTCGAGCCTCGTCGAGCTTTGACTGTTTGCAAAGCCCGCTTATAATAGCACCGTACGTAATAGAATCCGGAACACAACCATGGTCACTCATCCTACGGAAAAACTTCATTGCCAAGGTCAAATTTCCTTCTCTGCAATAACCACATATCATAGATGTATACGTTTTGTTTGTAGGAATAACTCCGATTCTCACAGCTTCCTCAAAACACGTCTCACTTTCTTTCATTCTATTTTCCCTACAAAAGACTGCGATCAATGTGGTGTATGAATGAATATCAGGTTGAATACCGCTTTTTACCATCTTATTGAATAACACCAACGCTTGCTTGATATTTGCCTGTTTGCAATGCTCGGACATGAGAATATTATAGGTGACTTTATCCGGTTTCAACCCATTATGAAAGCCATCCTCAAGCATTTTGTAAGCCTCTTGTACCCTTCCCCTTTTACAAAGACCATCAGCAATGGCATTATATGTACACACATTAGGACTAAAACCTTCACTACTCATTAGATTCATCAAATCATACGCTCTTTCAAAATTTCCGGCTTTACAATGTCCGTCAATGAGAGCTGTATAAGTGTTGGTGTTCGGGACTAATCCCTGCTCTTTCATTCGGCTCAGTAGCATCTCTGCCCGGTTTAGTTTGACATCTCTACAATACCCACTTATCATGGCAGTATATGTAAGCACATTTGGCTTGTGATTTTCGCTTCGAACAAGCTTAAGAAACAATCTAAACGCTTTCTCGGTCCACCCTTTCTTGCAAAGACCGTGGATCAATGACGTATGAGTATATACATTAGGTTTCCAACCTTTAGCAACCATCTCCTCCAACATTTCAAATGCTTGCTTGATGCTACCCCTTTTGCACAAACCTTCAATCATACACGTGAAATTAATCAAATTAGCCTCCAAACCCATATCAACTAACCTACGAAAATACCACAACGCTCTCGTTCCATAACCCTTTTCACAAAATCTGCTGATAATTAACGTAAAGGTTGCATTATCAACCACAAAACCCCTCTCGAGCATCGCACTCAACCACCTATCCGCCTCCAAAACATCACCAATCTTACAATACATAACAACCATCACCCTATAGCTAACAGAATCCGGTTGTACCCCTCTCACACACATTTCCTCAAACAACAACTCCGCATATTCAACCAAACCAAACTCACTTGTTACCTTCATAATCCAATTCAATGTCCGAGTATTCGGAACCAAACCCTGGTCATGCATTTCAATGACCATTTCCACCGCCTCCTTCAATCTCCCAATCTCAGCAAAACTCTCCACCATACACCTCATAACTTGATTCCCTTTCTCCAAATTCCTATTCCCAATCAACGAACTCGCACACACTACATACAGTCTCATAAAATATCGAAACTTGGGATACCCAATTGCCCAATAAAAGAACCCAAGAGCCACCATTGAACCACAATCACCTGCAAGTGAAGCAACAATGGTAACAGCTTGTTCGTGAGTCAAAGAATCAGCATCAACCCCAAGATTGAGACTTGGAGGTGAAACTCTTATATGGGTGTGTTCATTGTATGTTTCACGCACCAATGAACACACCCTTTGGACTATAGATTGTGATGGAAGTGGAACCAAATCAGATTGTAATTGTATTGATGAAGAGAAATAGCACAGTGATTCTCTAAGTGAGGTGAATCTACGTGAAATGACCTGAGTTCTGAGAATCATAAAGCACAACATGAAAATGCGATGCTATTCTGTTCACTGTTCAATATTCGAGGTGTTTGATGTGTAGGGTTTAAGAGAGCTCATTGATTCAAGCAATGAATTGGGAATTTTGATAACGAGTTAGATGTAATGAAGAGCAAAAAAAAAAGGATTGGGGTTTGTTTGTAAATCTAGGGTTTTTGTTGAGAGAAAATAGGGGGATTTTGAAAAGGATATGGAGAAGGATGGAATAGAGGAATAAGGAGAAATGAGAGATGTGTGGTAGGGAGAGAGGAGGTCTGGTGATTGTAGATGGACATGGGTGGTGTTAACGGTGGCCTGCGGGTGGTGCTAACGGTGGCCTGAGGGCGGCGCCAGTGGAGTGCAGTGGTGGAGGGAGTGGGAGTGTAAATTCTTAGTCCTCAAAATTAGCTCAGTTTTCTTATGAATTATTTATTTATTTATTTATGTAAATATCTATATAATATAATAATATAAGATGAGTATTTTGACAAGTTTGTCGATTGACACTTTTTCATGTATTTTTATATTTTTACTTACGTTAAAAAGAGCATATATTTTTCATCCCATCTGAGTTGTATAAATAGAGTGGTCTCTTTGGACTCGTGATATTGACGACAAGATAGTTTCTCATGTTAGTTTGAGTTCCTCTCCAAGTTTGATGGTTTAAGTGAAACAACCAGGTTAGAGTTATGCATTCAAGTTATAAATTTTTTGAATCTCTGAGCTTGAACGAATCCGAAACATGGCTATGCTATAAGATCCATATCTTTGTATTTTATTGACATGTATTTTATTTCATTTGAACCTTCTGATTCTTATATGTGCTTTTTGGACGTTGAATTTCAACATAGAGAATTTAACATCCAATTCCAACCATTCAAAGGGGGAGAAATCATCCATATGGAATACTAAAGTAATAGAAAGTTGTATGTATAACTTTTGATAAATGGATTTAGAGTAGCATATTCATATATGACTTATGAATTATGATAAATTACATTATGATGAATTTTTGTTTGGAAAAATATATTGCATTTTATTTGTTTTCTTCTCAGCATATAGAAGAAATTGTTGTGTTATTTCAATAAATTGTTATCTTTAACATTGATGGACATATATAGATGTAGTATTGTTTTGGTGAAAACTCATAAATGGTGATTTAAATGCAGGATGAAGTTGTTGCTGTCGATTTGAATGTTAGGTGAATGAAATATTTTGTATTTTGTAACTTTTTCTTAGCACAACTGTTGTACGTATTTTCAACACAAGTATTTATATTGTCGTTTTTCTCAGGGATTGGTGTGATATTACTGTCGTTCTATAGTTTTAGTGAACTTAAGTGTTTGATACATAGACAAAGTTTTGGTATTGGATTTTAGTAACAAAAAGATTAAGTTTCATGCACGATGTTGTGATTTGGATAAAAGAGATATTTTTGTTTGAAAAGCTTGTTTTGATAAAAGGCATGTTAAGATTAGTTTTCATCAACCTATTTCATACATATCTGATTAATCAAGCATATGAACTAATTGATGATCGATATATTCACGTATCCTCACAACACTACTCATGTCTAAGCAATATTGTGAGTATTATCATGTTAATCATTAAATGGTCTCTCAACCTAACTATTAACATGATAATCTTTAAAGCTTGATACAAGTGATACTAACTCACAAATCTATGTCTAGAGTTTGCTCATTAATAGATGAATATCTTAGGTCAAGTTTAAAACTTACTTTTCAATAATGATCCAAACCATAAAAAGAACAATGATAACAAAGATATTCAACATATATTAATCATCAACCAAGTTCATATTAAAAATGATCAAAAAAATACATAAGGGTTAGATTAACTACCTCTAATCTTGACACAAAAGATGCTTAGCTACTCATAATCATGATAGCTTGATCAACATATAAGCAATCAATCTTTATGGACATCAACCTTGAAGTTTCCAATATTGAAGATGCAAAGCTTTGATTTTTGTAGCAATGGAGGAAAAAGGGCTTTTTTCCAAAGTAAGATTTTTCAAGGATCAAAAAGTACAAGAGTGTGTGGAAGTATGGCACAAAATATCACCAAAGTAGCCTAAAAGCATGGGCAGTCTGCACACCATCGTCAGACGACCATAAAGCATCGTCGGGCGATGCTAGTAGATGCACCATGTGACCAACTAGATATGAGGAACAAGCAGAAAATATCCACCATCGCCCGGCGACAAGGATGCTTCGTCGGGCGACTCTTCTTTCGCCAGACGATCAAGGAGCGAGATAGTCTAGAAGCTAACCCAAAAATTCAGCCTTTCTTCACAACTTCCGTCGGGCAACACATCCTTGTCATCAGGCGATCCATCACAGCAATGCCACTTTTCTTTGCAAGCAACAACAATAGAGAGCCGACTTCAAGCCTCCAAATCTGCACAAAAATTGCTGAAAAACTAACAAATAAATTAAAATATTCAAAATTATTTGTATTTATGCAAAATAACTTAAAATAAGTGCTTAACCTAATTAAAAATATAATAAAAGGTTTGAAAGTGTCGATAAATGATATGAAAATTACTCAAAAGTTGACACTTAACAACTCTCCCCAACTAAAGTCTTTGTTTGTCCCCAAATCAAAGGTAAACACCAAGATAACAAGATGAATTTATAAGAACAAAATCAACAAGAGAGATTTGTTTGGTTCAAACTCAACAGATGCGGTCATAACATAAATCAACTGTTTTCATAATCAAAGCATTATAATGAAATAAGTTCTAAACACAAAATCTAGCTATGCATAAATTAGTAACAACATGTTCATATTTGAATCATCTACTCTCAATCAACAAAATATGGATTATGTACACAATACAAGGGACAAAACACTCTCATTTACAATTGTGTTATCATCCAGAATAATTCATGCATTCATCAATTAAGTTGAAAAGAAGATCAAGGAAACATAGATCACAAAAGGACTTTTATTGGTTGTAACTTGGCTTGGGTTAAGAATAAGGGGTTATATATGCAAGGCCATTAAAGTAAAATGGGTAAAGATCATGAAGAGCATTTCAAATATTCACAACATTCATTCTTGCTTCATCCTTAGTTTTATCACAACCTTTAATTTCTTTTTCTCACAATGCTCCTTTCTCTTTTCCCTTTCTTCTTTCTTCTTTTCATTATTATTGCTTTTTTTAAAGCATTTTTTAAAGGATGCATTGTACCACCAATTCTTTCTTTCTTTTTAAAAAATCTCCCTAACTTTCAACATTATTTTCCTTTTTATTCAAGCAAATGCTCTTCAAACAAGGATATTTCAAACAATTGGGTAAAGTGTTTACAAACAAGAATTTTTTTAGCATGAATCATCATTGAATCTCTTTTTTGGTCATCAACAAAATTACTAAGTGGTATACTTAGAAATTTGTTGACTTATTGATAGATTCATTCTAAATTTTTTAATTTAAAGTTCAAAAGAGTTCACAAAGATTCACAAACTCACAAGGTTAAATGAGGCCCTTTTGGAAATGGTGGTAACTCTCGCAATACAGAAACAATGCCTTGATCCCTTCTAAGTTTCCAAAATTTCTTTTCAACAACAAGATTTAACATGAATCATTCGAGTTAAAACAACAATTACTAAAACATTAACAATTTGGTAAACAATAGAAAGTCACTCACATTTGAGGTTATATCCTAATGGTTCAAATATGCACACATATTTACATAACAATGCATAACTATCTTTTTGCCTAAAGCACTATTTTCATTATTATGCTAACATTCTACAAAATAGTAAAATAGTACCTTGTTTGCACATTTCTTTGAGATTTTTACCATCACCACCAAAATCACGAGATCGATTAAGCCTCAAAGAATCAAACTTTCTCCTTGAGCACTTAACTCTAACTTTTTACAAAGACAAACGAAACCCACTATCTATGTACACACCATAGTAAAATATAATACTACTAATTCCAACCAAAAATTATAATTTATCATACTTCAATCATAAATAAAAAAATTTCAACCAAAAAAAAGTACCAACGCCCACTAAAAGGGGACAATCCCAAAATACAACCAATAATTTTTCAAAACACAACAAATTGTTCCAACAATTAAAATTTTAAACACCAACATAAAGCTGAAAACAAAATAAATTTCTTCACTTTGACGCAAAGACTTCAATGCTCCAAATTGTCACCACCATCATCACCAACATGTGTTGCCCCCTCCGAAAAGAACAGGCGCTTGTCCACAGCCAATTGCAGAAGCATCATATTCAGTACGGGTAGGGAAAGAAATTGTCTCTTGAGGATTAGACTGATTCAGAAACAACTTTGCCATGGAATCATGAAGAAAACTTCCAGACCTTTGATGAGCTTCCAACATGTCCCAAGTGTAGTTGCGAGTCTCTTTCATCCTAGGATCCAAATTTGCATAATTGAGACCCTCAGATGCCTCTTGAGCACCAAATGATTCACCCCTAACATTCCTCTTCTTCCTTTTCATGGCCAATTTTCCCAAACAGTAACTGCCAAGATAGTCATCATTTATAACCCCTCACTTTTTCATTAATCTCCTCAGGCATCAAAATTCCTTTGTCCAGGCACATAGCAGTAATAAGACAAGGAAAAGGAAGAGGTACACGAGAGTTTACCTCTTTTGTCTTAGTGATTTCGACAAATTTCCTCAGTTCCTTAGAAATAATGCCCACCACATCTACCGACCTATCTTCCAAGATACACTGCACAAGCAAGGCAACATCAATATGAATGGTTGTCCTATGAAGTTTAGGTTTGATGTTGTTTAGAATCAACAGAAGCACAGCTTGTGCTTTGGCCTTCATATCCTCCCAGTTATAACTAAGAGGAATGTGTTGTACCCCAAAATTTTCCCTACCTTTTTCTTTAAGACATTCTCCTAGGGTTCTCAAATGCTCAAGGTGGTTCAAGAATTGATCATATAAATTCTCCTCCTAAGCAATGGACTCACAACTAGAGTTTGTATTTCTCA